TTAACACAGTACCCGGCACATACTAAGTGCTTAATAAATGTTTAATGAATTGAATCTCCTCCCTTTCATTAGTAGCAATACAATTTTAACTATTCTTATGGGATCTTTCTGCCCTTCCTCCAGACTAGTCCCCTCCCCTTTAGCACTGTCTGATTTTCTGACATAAAACAATTCACATATAAACGGGTCACAATTTTTAGCAGGGTAGTTCCTGCTACTTTCCAATGTCCTTGGTATCTATGAAAGGAGCACTCGAAAAGCAGAATTTCCTTTATAGTGGCCCGTATCTGAAAGTCGGGATTTGGCTTTCCCAAATTGTTCCTGCACCTTGAATCCTAGAGAAGCTGAGAGAGGTCCTTTTGAAATCTGAGATCCCGATTCCTGTGATACTTCCTCTTTCACCCTTATTGAAGCTGCTCCTTAAAGTCAACAATAATTTCATCACCAAATGCCATGGCCTTCCCTCAATCCTCATCCTCCCTGAATGCTCTGCATTGTTAACTATTCTCCTCCTACTAGATACTCTCTATGCCTTGCAAGACTACTCTTTGAATTCTCCTCATACTCCTATCCCAAATTCTGTCCTTTTCCTGATAACTTAATGGCGGTATTCCCTAAAGGTATGTCCTTGGTCCTTTTCTTTCCTTTGCAATTCCTTAACACAATTAACCCTTAGCAAATGACACTCAAATCATATTACATCTCCTGTCCCAATCACTCTTTTGCTATCTATACCCACATTTCCAGAAGGCTAAAGAATATGTCTACCTAGATGTTCTACTGGCACCCCAAACTCAAATATTCAAAACCAAATTTATTCTTTCCTGATAAGACTAATCTTCCATCTGATTATTTCTATCTATGGCTGGGTTCCTGTTAGTATCTTTTCGGTTATCTTTGAATTTTTTATTTTCCTCTCATCTCAAATCAATCACTATGGCACTATTGATTCTACTTCTGTATGACTCATATACACTCCTTCTATTCTTGATCTAAGATTTCAGCAATATACAGGACTCTCAGGTAAGGCTTAGCAAAGTACCTGACACATAGCAGGTGTTTATTCCCCTCTCCCACCCTCCCCAGTGCAGGGCCTGTAACAGTCTTGGCTGCCTAGATCAGTAAAAGACTAAGTGATTTGTCCTCAGTCACTGGGTCAAAGGATGGCCTAGAACCTAGGTCTCTACCCACTATACTACACTTACTGCCCATCTGAATTACCACAGTTATTTCCTTACGGGTCCTTCTGGCTTCACTCTTCCAGCTCTAATCTAGCCTTCAAATGACTGCATAGAATTGTTTTTACACCTAGGTCTGACCATGTCACTTCTCTACTCACACTTCCTGTTGACCACCGATTAACATTCAGTTTCCTTTACCTCCTCCTTAAGGCTCTCTACAATTTGTTGCTACTGTTGCCCTTCTAGCCTTATCCCGTCATTTCTATACTTGGCCAGATTGAACTATCCCCCGCTCTCCATCTGTAATATCTATGGGCCTTTCTGGTGTCGGTGGGTCACTGGCCTTGAAGGCTAATACACTTAGCTACGGAATGGCTACGGAAAGGCTAAGTGTCCTTGTATTCATCAAGGAGGACATGAAAAACCTAAATTTCCCAATAAGTGATGTTCTAATTCAGCCACAGCCTAATAGTCTCGAAATCTCTGGTGGGAATCTTCTAAAAAGCTGCAGTATTCCCACTGGCTAATAATATTTATATAGCACCTATTATGTGCTAGGCACTATGCTAAGCACTTTACAATTACCTCATTTGACCCTCACAACAATCCTGGGAGGTAGGTGCTGTTATCCCCATTTTATAGATGAGGAAACTAGGGCTGACTCCAAGTTCAGTGTTCTATCCAATGCACCACCTACCACGATATGACTCATCTTTTGCAAACCTTGAAATGTTATATAAATGCTATTATTAATAAGCATATTTGCTTTGGCCTTATAATCTTCCCTTTCTTTGGTTATTTATATTTGCTCTCTGCTTTTGTTTTCTTAGATTTGTTAATGAATTTTGCCCCCCCCCTTTTGGTTTTTATTTCAATTTTCAAAGTCATAGCAGTTTTCTTTTCTTTCTCTTTGGTTCAATGCCTTGATTTTTCTTAGCTTTGGAAGTGCAAGTTCAACTTGCTAAGCTTCTTTGTGAACGATGGGAACATTCAGTGGGAAAGGTAAGACGGTACAATGTAAAGATTGCTAGACTGAGTCAGAAGGCCTGGCTTGACTCTTAACTCTACCATTTATTGTGTGACTGTCAGCAGCTCCTTTAGCCTCTCAGTCTTGGTTTCCTCATCTGTAAAATGGGGCTAATAGCTGTAGCACAGGGTTGTTGTGAGAGTCAAATAAGATGCCACGGGTAAAGTGATATACAAACCTTAAAGCATATGTATTAGTTCTAGGGAAGATTCAGCATTTTGAGTAAGTTAAATAGCAACTAATATTTTTTGGTTTGTCCTAAGGGGCCCGCTCAATGCCTAAGCAGTTCATTTTCCTTTAAATCTTGCTCCTCGTCACTTTTATTTAGCTACTTATGTCTTTTAATAAAGAGATACATTTCAGGTAAAGATGAAAAAAAAAAACCTCGTAACACTAATAAAGGCACATGTGTGTATACACACATGCTATACACATTTATACACACACAAAATATTATTGTTCTTCTCTAACGCTATCCTTTTCATATCTGAAATATAATCCTATCTAAAATACCGAGTGAAGGAACTTCTGTAAACAAAACGTCTAAGAAAACCATATGTGGCTCTTACCTCTTTTACAATGAAGCACCGAATTCCTTTCATTAAGGAAAAAAAAAAGGGAATTTAACTGAATTCAGTTATTAAATAACAACACAAAATCCAGTATTTTTCCAAATATATTTATTTATTGTATTCTTCATGTGAGCAGTTATTTCTCCATTTCTCATGTATTTCAAAGTTTAAAAAAAGGCATCTTGTCTGTTTAAAAAGTCAATCCTTGTACAATGAATACTAAACAAATTGTAGTACCAGTGAACAAAGGAGAATCCGAGGGAGGCACTCAGAAAAATCACATGACAAAGGATCAGAACTCTGATAAATATGTAAAAATAACTTCACCTCTGAAGTATACCATCAGTTTCTCTTGGAATAACATTGTGGATGATGGACAATGGGTGAATGGCCCAGACAGGAGAAGCTGCTGCTATGGCTCAGGCAGCAGGATCCTCACTGGGGGACAACCAGCCTCTTCCTTGGCACAGCTGCTCACGGAGTTTCAACTCCACGCTGTAGCTACTGCTAAAATGTCAACACCAGTTGCGGCCAATGTTCCCATGTTACAAATGTATTTAAAACAAGACAAATGTATTTAAAACACACACCTGCCACTTAAGCTAAACAGAAAGCAACATCAGCAAGATTAACACACAGCAGCTGCTCAGTGAAAAGGTGAGTCCTTCTCTGAGAACTTGGGGGCCAGCTCAAGGGGGAGTGGAAAAACACTAAAATTGAGACCGTGAAGTTCTACTACAAGCACAAAGGCAAATAAATGTTCAGTCAATGCAAAAAGGAATGAGCAAAACACAGAAATTATGAAAGATGCTTTTGGAAAAAGGAAATAAGTAGGCTACAGGCCCTCATTCTAGCTTTGGCAGCTGATTCTGAATCACATGAACCACAACTTAACTTAGAAAAGAGGAAAAGCACCCAGGTATAGATACCACTGAAAACAGGCTGCTTTTAAGACACTGCTGTTTCTGGAATTAACTTCCTATTCCCACAGAAAATGCTTCTTTTTCCCCTTCACAGAGCTAAGAGATCTAGTAAAACATACACAGAAAATGATGCCCCAAGTTAACACTAGCTACCAAGCATAATCCTGCTGCCCAATATTCCCTGTAATAAAAGTTTTGGTTGTCTCTGAGACTAAGTCAAAACTTGACAGAACAAGCTTCATTCATAGTCTTTAATCTGCCCCACTATGTTCCCATGATTTATATCCCCACTGCCATAATTTAGTGGCTATACTGCTAACTCTCCCATCATAACGTAGGAGGTCTGAAAACACACAAAGGAAGACAATGCTGATTTGTCCCAGATATCAAAAAATATTAAGGTAGCATCTGAATACCATATAAGAATATAGAAAGCATCTCACAGAAGAGGAAACAGGCTATAAAATATACTTTTATCAATAGCGGAAACTATGAGCAACAATACCATCTCCAAAGGAGAAATCCTAGTTACTTGAATTACTGTAGCACTCCTTGTATTATAAAAGTGTGCGTTTTAGTTTCTAAATACCCTAAATCACTAGATAAAAGTAACAGTAAGCTCCTTGTGGGCAGGGACCGTTTCTTGTTTTGTCTTTGTCTCCCCAAAGCTTAATACATGCCAATCACAGAGTAAGTACTCAATAAATACTTGTTGATTGATTGAAGTCTTTTTTTAGTCTACAAGTGATTTCACTGGTTGGGATGTGGGAAGCTTCCAGACCAGTGATTGTTATGCAACTTAGAGAGATTCACCTGCTACCTTCTTACTAATGCTAATAACAAAGTCTTTAGACTAAGTTGTTCCTAAAAATCTATGCCCTTGCTATTATGTAATGTGCTCCATAATAAATAATTCCAATACTTGTTCATCCCCCCCAAAAAAGAAACAAATGGCTTAGGAGGGTTATAGGAAAAGCAAACCAGAACAAAACTAAACCCTCTATTGTCTTCTTCATACCTCTGAGCTTGCTCAGGAATAAATGCAAATTTTGGGAATGTGAACCTACATAGGATTTCTAATAGAAAAGCTTACTTCTGTGTCACATAAATCACATGGCCAATGTTAGAGAACAGAAAAACATGAAATGTTTGAATGAAGAATTGAATGCTTGAATGAAGAATTTTTTTTTTGACTCAACTGAGTGGATTCTCAAGTGTATTTTATAACGAAAACATACAAAAAAGTTTAAGAATCATCTTTGTAAAAATCAATGACATATGCTCTTTAAATATGTTATTCTCCTTTTCAAATACATTTTTAATCAATACACATAACAACAATATGCATAGAAATAAGTTGCAAACAACAGATATTCAAAGCATTAATTCTTTACATGTGTTTTGGCTATTTCAGTCCCTAAGAAAACATATACAGTGTTCAACAAATGAGTACAGAAAGATAAAAAACGGATGGACACGACTGCTAAGCTTTGGGTAGATCTGACTCAGCCACAAATCTGTCTGTACCTTAGAGATTACCCCCAAAGAGGAAAAAAAAAATTCCTCTTTAACAGGATTCCACTAGACTTGACTCATTACCTTGGCGTTAGATGACTGGCTTTGTCACCTATAAATGGATGGGGTCACTTGTAGAAATCCGATTTTACTTGACACAGCGTATCTTTCTTTCTTTCTTTTTTTTTTTTTAACAGCAGCTGCTTTTCCAGAATCAGGTGGCACACATAATTCAATCAAGAAAGAAAGCTTATGTCCAAGAGTTTAGAACACATAGTGACACGTCCAGGAGCGTGGTCTTATGTAGTCAAAAAACGTTGGCTGCAAGAAATAGGATGGGAGAGTCAGTGTACAAGTGAGCCATGACATGGCACATCTCTGTATCACACATTTCTAAAACAATAGAATTTTTGGTGGGTTTTAGGCAAAATCATACTGCATAATTGATTAAATTCAAATTTTAAAAAATCAAATAAGTGATATAATTCAAATGATGTGTAATAGCTTCATCCAATTTGTAACTTATACTTTGCTAGGCATTTTGCATTTTGAAGTCGTCAACTTTATTACTCATGTTTACTGAGCACCCTTCTCTCAACCTAGCTCCTAGCAATTCAGTCCTACTTTTGGCAGGCTGAGATTCAATTTGGGGCTGGTTAAGTGGGAAAGAGGGAATAAATGGAAGAGGGAAGAAAATATTGGCATTAGATAAAAGCATTAGAAGACCAAAGATATCCAAAAAGCAGGTGAAGTTATAAGAATTTATTATCTGAAATTTCAGATCTTATCTCACCCCCAAATCACTGTTTCAATATTAAATAAGCTCACTCTTACAACTCACTCCTTAACATTGTCCATCTGTCCCATTTAATGTTGAAGAATGGTTATTTTACACTCCTGGCAGATTGTTTCTTCATTTAAAAAAAAATTAAGTTTAATAATTGTCAACATAGATAAGTAAACATAGAAAATAAGGGGCAAAATTTTATACAAAACTTAACTTTAACAAGATGGAACTAAATTAACAAGTTTAAAAAAAAAAGCCTTTTTGACCTGTGTGTCCCCATCCAATCAGAAGTTCTACCATGTTTGGTCCTGATTCCTTTCTTGCAATCGATCTCGTTGCAGTCACTGCTCCCTGTTTAAGTTCTGCTGATTTCACTTCATATGACCTCATAGGGAAAGGGAGAGGAATTGCACCCATGATTTCCTTAGTATAGGGAATTCCCAACCAAGGAAACTCCTGTTACCAATATTAAGTCAGCACCTTCTCTGTAGAGTTACTGGAGCACTAAGAGATTTAAATAACCTGTCCAGGGTCACACAACTAAGTTCCTATAAGAGTTGAACATGAACTCAGGTTTTCTCATCCCCAAGGCCATCTCTGTTATGCTGTGGATGTCCCTCATGTGTTACCTTTTATCCTAAGATTTTAGCAAGGCAGATTGCAAAGGCTTCAGGGAAAGGCCAGCTGGAATCCAATGACCTAACACTCTCAAGAATGAAAGAAGAGACAGAGAAATAGTTCGAATGAAAAAAATGACGGACCTTTTTAGAAGGGCTGATGGGGATGTATGGGGGTACTCATCAACCAACTAAAAAAAATTTTTTTAAAAGACACATGAAAGATATGTTAACTGCAAGGGCAGCCAAAAAATGACTAGAAGAGTAGCAGAGTCCAAGAGTGTTAGGAGAACAAAAATTCAGAATAGGCTGAGGTTGGAGAGCAAGAAGTAAAAAAAAAATAAAAAAATTGTTGTTTTTAAAGTCTACAATGGGGTAAAAGAGGGTCAAAGAGATAACCACTGTTTGAAGTAGACAAGATAATGGTAACGGATGAGAGAGAATAACACAACTCTCAATTTGCTCGTTTACTCTGTCATGGAGAATGAGAATAGAACAAAAAAGGCGATAATACAAGTTAATACGCAACATATGGAGGGCAACAGTAAGAATACTTGGCTGCCTTCAATGAGTTCAGGTCATCATGCCAGATGAATAGCATCCTAACAGACTTAAAGAACTGGCAGAGATGACTGCTGAGTCACTCTGAGTGGGAGAAAATGGGGCCTGAAAATTACAGGGTGGTGAGTGTGACTTCAATTGACGGTAGAATTCTTGACTATATTATTAAAAGAATGGTGAGTAGATACCTGCAAAGAGCTGCAGTGACTACCCAGGGCTTTATCGATAGCAGGGCATGCTGTTAACCTTGTGTTTTTCTGTCTGTCTGTCTGTGTCTCTCTACGTATATATATATAGTTTGTTTTTTTCAAAAATCAAGAATAGACTGGTAGGCCAGGGCAATGCTGTAGACATTGGTTACCAAGATTTTAGACTAGTATTGAAAAAAGTCTCCTGTACAATTCTTGTGAAAAAGAGGAGAAAAATGTGGGTTTGATTTACAACTGGGTGAACAGCTGGACCCACAAAGTAGTTATTAACAATCTATTACCATCTTAGAAGAAGCTCAGTTATGGGATACCCCAGGGATCTGTGTTGGGCTGTAAGTTATTGTATATTTTTTGAATAAAAGAACACACAAAAATAATGATAATAATAGCTGACATTCGTATAGTACTCTAAAGTTTGTAAAGTGTTTTACATATATGATCTCATTTGATAAAATAGTGTGCTCATCAAACCTGAAGATGATCCAAAGCTGGGAGAGAGGGAGAAGTAGAGTTATCTAACACATCAGATGGCAGAGTCAAAAATAAAAAACATCTCAATAGGTTAAAGCTCCAAGCTGAATCTAATAAGGACAAAATGAATAGTTGAATCTTGCATTTGGGTTCATAAAATCAACTTTACAAGTACAAGACAGGCATAGCTGGAAAGCTACAAGCTCAATGGGAACCAAGTTCCATGAAATTTAATGGAGAGGAAGGTTTAGGCTTGGTGTAAGGGTAAAAAATCTGAACAATTAGAGCTCTCCAAAAGTGAGATGGACTGCTTCATGAGGTAATGGGTTCTCCTCACCAAGAGCCTTCAAGCAAAGGCTAATGGCCATTTAATCAGGATTCTTCCTCAGACAGGAGCTAAACTAAACAGTTCTGAGTTTCCTTCCAACTCTGAGATTCTAGGATTCTGTTACAGGTCTTTTAATATTTCCTTGTATGTTGCCTATTCGTTATTTTATGGCATGATATTACATTAAATATACTGTAATCTGTCAATTCTTAATCAGATAGATTATTTCAAATATTTTTGATATCACTAAAGCATCTATGAATATTTTTGTACAAGAGTCCTTTTTTAAAGTTGTTTTTGGGATAAGTCAATTTATTTCAATATTTAAAGTATCCTACACGTAAGGCACTGTGTTGAGGATACATATTTTAAAAAGTGAAACCTTCTCTCCTTCAGCAACATACATTTGACTGGGAGGATAAACAGAGAAATAAGGAAATGCAAAGTATATACAAAATTATAACAATCATGACAACCCATGTATGCACTAATGACTAGAGGTGGGGGTGGGTTTGTGAAAGGTCTTGTGTTCCTGACATAGCCAGGTAGCACCTGACTGACCCTTGGAAGGAAGTTAAAGACACAAAAAGGCAAAGGTTAGCAGGGAGAGCCTATTAGAAGGGAGTGAGGGAGGGAACATATGTGTGAATGCAGAGACACAGAGGAAAAAAATATGAATGGCAAACAACTAGCAGGCACTTTCACTGAAATGGAGAATTCCTGCAGAAGAATAATATGAAATGAGACTGGAAAGGTAGGTGAGAGTCATTTTATGGAGAGCTTCAAGTGCCAGGCTAAAGATTTTGCTTGGAGGCAATAGGAGTCTAAGCCTATTTCAGAGCAGAGGTTATAACCAAGTCAGATTTGTGTTTTTAAAATGTTATTTTGCAAGCTGATTGTAGGGGAGAGAGTGGAATGAGAGAGTTCAGTGAGGATGCTATTGATAAAAACTTCTGAGGACCTGAATTAGTTTACAGGTCGCAGAAGGGGAAGGATGGGGGAGGTATTATGGAGGTAGAATTGACAAAACTTGGCAACTAACTGGATATGAGAGGTGAGAGTGAGGGATGAGTCAAGGATGACTCAGAGGCTGCAAACCTGGAGAGGGAGTGGTACCCTCAACAAAAACAGGCAAGAGTCATGAGTTTGTATGGAAAATGATGAGCTCTGTTTTGAACATGCTAAGTTTGCTATATCTCTGGGGTATGAAATAAAGTAAGCAGAACCAAGAAAACAAAATATAAAATTACTACAACACTGTAAGTGAAGAAATCCATCACCACCAAATAACTGTAATTGCATGTGACGAAATTACAAACAAGCTTAGCTCCAAAGACTTAAGATATAGGAAGGCAGGCACTTCTTCCTCCCTTACTCCTTTGAAGAGGTAGGGAGGAATATACAAAAGTACTGAACGTCAGATTTTTTTTTTTAAATGTGATGGTTGATTTTGCTGAATTTCTTTTTCTCTGGCTCTTGAAAATTTTTTTTAAAATCTGTTAAAAGGAAGGGCTCTCAATGAAGGGGGAGAGGTAGGTATATGGAGGAAATGAGAATCATAGAAACAAAAGATATCAATCAAGTGTATTTTTTAAAAATCAGCAAGTTTGAACATCTTTTCATGTGGTATTGAGTTTGCACATACTTAATGTGATTTATTTACTACAAATATTTTTTCCAAATTTTACTTTGAGTGTTATTGCTTTCTCTTATAGAAAATCTTTTCTTGTATAATCAAGGCCACTGATTTGGGTCTCCTATACTTTTTTCTATTTGACTGATAAAAATATCTTGCTCCATAATAGAGACAAATTTTTTCCCCATTTTTTTTATTTTTAAGATTCAGATCACTGATTAAGCAAGCATGTATTATGACAAATGTCATGGATTTGGATCCAAACCTGTTTTTTGCTATTCAGCTACGCCACTTTTCCTAACAATTTTAACTAAATAGAAATTCTATTTCCTTGATGGGTGTGTGGGTTTATACAGCACTAATTTTGAATTCTATTTCTGGGTTCTTGACTCCATTTTGTTCTGTTCCTCTACTTCTCTGCTCTTTTCCAAGTACTAGTTTTTTAAAATTTCTGCACATTTTGAGATCTGGTAGTTAGTGCCCCTTAGATTACTCACATTTTTTAAAGGACATTGCTGACGTGCATACCACTCATGAGAGTATAAGCACAATAGGATTCCATGTCCCAAGAAGAGAGATGTCCACATCAAGACATTCCAAATAGGCCTTTTCCGACTGTCATTGGCAATGAAATTGAAAATCACTGGAAGTTAGAAGCAAGGAAGACAACAAAAATGCAGTTAGCAAGGTTATCTTCTCCAAAGTCGAGGTTGTCTGCTCCAACGTCCAAGACATCTATTATGATTGCCTAATAGAGTATCAACTGGGTATTTAGTACTTCTATCATTCTGGTCAAGAGCCCAAGGAATAAAAATGAAGCATAACAATGAATCCATCTATTTAGTAATAATTAAAAACAGATCAAGAAAGGTCTCAATAGTGTTGGTATGGTAAAGGGGCTGTTAATAATGTTGGGGCAGAAGCCCCAAGATCACCTAGTCACCTAATTGAACTTGACATTCCAGTTCTATTCTTGCCAATATTCTCTTTACTCTAATCTTGTATAAAAACTTACTTCCAAAGAACATGAAGAGTACGAAGAGAACTGGGTAGAAAAAGCTCAAGCACAGGGCCAGGGCGTACTCGTGCACTATGGCAGACACTGCAAAGACAGACACCATGGCGGCCGTTTTGAACCTCCTGCTGAAAAACTTGGGGAAAAGAACCCAAAGTTTAAAAATTAACTCAGACATAGACCATACACAGACTTAGAGATTCTTGGTCTTATCCATAAAAGACTTTTAGGGTCCTTCTGTTAAAAGGCCCAGGAACATCTTTATACCAAGGTCAAAAGCTCCCTGCAGGTAAAGGATTATTCTCTAAGGAACAAGTATGATCCCATACACAAGAGTCTAGGGAAAAAGAAGAAGAGGAAGAAAAAGGGAAAAAAGAAGCACGTCAAAAGAACATGATTAATTAAAGGTACTCGGATTAAGATTCAAAAATTAAACAAGCTACTCTCTAAAAAAAGCTATTCAAGAGTTGCCATTAACAGGTAGAGAACTTACAGCCTCAAGGCCATATGTGGCCCTCCAGGTCCTCAAGTGCAGCCCTTAGATTGAATCCAAACTTCACAGAACAAATCTCCTTAATAAAAGGATTTGCTCTGTAAAACTTGGACTCAAGTCAAAAGGCCCCACACCCAAGGACCTAGAGCCACATGTGGCCTCAAGGCTACAGATTCCCCACCCCTGAAATACATTATAAAATCACCGCACAGCTATGCTGCCATAGGAAGAATACAAAACAGTCCAAGAGATGATCATTTATTTGCAAAGGATTGTTCAGAAATAATATCCTAGCCAATGCAAAGAGGCTAGACTCTAGCCTCTTAGATGTGTGAAGTTTGGATTCAGTCAAAGGGCCACACTTGAGGACCTAGAAGGCCACATGTGGCCTCGAGGCCATAGGTTCCCCAGCCCTGGGCTACAGTCATGGAAACTTACAATTTTTTAGAAGATATAGCCACTTGAGTAATTAGAAAACAAAGCATATCACAAACCATAATTTGAGTCAATGGCAAAAGACAATTCCATTTACAAAAATGTAATTCAAAACTTTCCAGGAACATATCTATTATAATTAAGTTGAATATATTTCTAGAACTATTGATTAGTAGATACATTTCTGTTAAAGCAACTATTCCAAGACAGAACTAACCTAGGTAGGAACTAAGGTATTAGCTAGGGAATATTAAACCTTTAGAGATACTGCCATGAGCCCATCCATCTTGTTAGGGATAGTACCCGAAGTCACATGGGTCCATTGGACTGTTTCTATTAATCAGTTATATAATGAGTAATACAAACTTCATACATATCACATGTAGCCCTGTGCTAGGTACTGTGGGAGATAAAAAAAAAAAAGATTAAAGACAGTTCCTGCCGTCATGGAACACATTTAATTGTAATACAAAATGTAGTGAGGGACTGGGGAAGGGAGGGTGCTAGTGGGCAGAAGAGGGTAGGGGAGCAGAGAGGAGGAAAAGAGAGACAGAAGGAGATAGCCAGCAAGAAAGTCAAAACAGAATAGTTTCTTTCTTTGTGAGGTGAGGTACCTATTACTACTTTTACTGCCTTAATGGCCTTTTAAAAAACATCCTAACTTCTTAAGAACATAGTGTGAACTAAAGTTTATAACTCACCCAGAGGAAATCTTTGTAAGCATAGTAATAGAGCCAGTCATGAACTACTACATTCCAGGTTCTATAATAGTTGGCATATGATGTTGAGTTCCACCAATCCTTTAAAAAAAAAAAAGTGAGGGTATAATGTTAAAGGGAAAAAAAGTACTGACTTTTACGAACTCTACCGATATATCATGAGCTATACAGAACAGGATTGGCTTTTTTCCCTCCAAACATGGTCATCAATTATTGGTTAATCCACGTTATACTGATTTCCCAAGAAAATCAAAAGTATAACTCAAAGAGGGAAATCATTCCTAGTACTTTCTGTGATAAAAACCACTATTCAGTTTCATAATTGGACAAGTAAGAAGACCACAAGTGTACTTTCATCAAGTTCTAACAACACAGAACTATTCTTCTAGTCTTTTGTTTCCTCAAATAAAGGACAAAGACACTATATCCCCAAGAGTGTGGTAAAATAATCCTAAGAGCTTAGAAGACAAAAATTATAAAGCATGAATAAGGATTTGGGACTGGAGGGTAAGAACAAACTGTGAGCTAAGAGTGGAGAGAAAACTGCCTTCTCCACATTCCAGAACCATTCTGTAGACTTCTCTTTTTTAATTATTAAGGTCTTCTGAGTACATTAAATACGAATCTGTTACTATGCAAGACAAATAGTAGTGACAGTTGATATGCAAACAAACTTTCTTTGTATATAAGTGTCAGGGGCTTAGAGAATTGCCTCCCTTAAGAGAAGGGGTTAGAAAGAGCAAAGAAGACTCGGTGGTAGGGTAAGGCCAGACACTCCACACATAAGAGGCACCATTTTAAGCAAAACAAAGACATAAATTTTTTTTTTCCTCTTCATTACCTGCCTGAAAACACTGCATGAAGAAATTTGCTAAGATCATTTTAAAGACCATGACAACTTAAAAGTTATGAATAGTCATTGATAAAGCCTCATCGTACCATATGAAACAAGTTTATCTTATTTTAATCAGCAGTCCAGTTTCACAAGATGCATTAAGAAACTTTACGATTATCATATATAAAACAGCATTAAAAGAAATACAGAGCATGCTAGAGCTATTTTGTAAGTTTAATTCTACTGATGACAAGATTGTGTAGAAGACTAAATTTGTTCTCAGTTTTTAATACTAGTTTACATAAGCTAACAGATGTTAATGAAATATGGAATTAGCAACAAGGGCATAATAACACAAATAAAAGAAGGAAAATGAGACATTATCTGCTTCTGTCAAGTCTCTTACTTTATAGAACATCCTGTCCCCAAAGCGTAACATCTCCGCAAAGGCATTAAGCCAACAGTGCAATACGGCAAAAAAGGCAAGAAATAACATCAGCACACCTGGAAAGATTAGATAAAGTGTCAGATTCCTTCCTGGGAGCTAATACTGCAAAACAGAATAAAGCTTATCATTTGCTTAGCAGGAATTTTATGCTTAAAACAAACAAAAAACCAGAACCCCTCTTTAACCCATTCAACTGTCCTCAGGGTAATATTTGCTGAAAAGGCATCCTATTTATTGATTTTCCATAAACTGGCTTTTTGAGAAGCTGTATAGACACCCGAATGTTATTCGTAGCTCTATCTACTCCTAAGTAGAACCCAGAGAGGTACTCAAGAATACTGTTAAACTTCTTGTATCAACATCATTTCCTTGTATACAGTAAAATGAAACCTAATTATGCTTCCATTTTATTTAGAGTTGTCCCTTTCTTACACTGAAATGTCTAGCTTGGTCATTTAGTTGTCTGGAAATCATACATTCTGATTTGTGATTCTGATGAAGAAGACAAGGAAGACAGAACTGAAGAAACTTAGATGGCTGCACAGAATGCTTGGCTTGCCAAGGAACTCAGACTGGAAACTGATGGAGGGATGACTTAAACGTGGACAAAAATAAAAGGGGGCACTAGTCTATAGCAGTCAGGAGAGCTAATAAGCTGAAGCAGTCAAAAAGGCTTAAGGACAACAAAAAGGACTCTTAATGCTATATATTCAGAGCAAGAAGAAAAGGATGACAATCAACTGTAAGAAAAATATGAAAGATGATGGAAAGAAGGCAGAACAACTCAACTGTTGCTTTGCTTTGATTTTCACCATCTAGGTAGGAAAAGATCCTTGTAACATAAAAGATTTCAAGATAGGTGAAGCAGTCAAAAGAGAAAACCAAGTTATTTTAAATGAAATCAAGTTTATTACCCCAGCAGAAAGATATCCAAGGTACTGAAAAAAAAAAAAAACTTAAAAAGACTTGGCTGCTGAACCACTGTTGGTCATCTCTGAGAAATTATGGAAAACGGTAAAGACGCTAGGAGAATGGATATATAAATGTCCTGGTTTAAAAAAAAAAAAAAGATAAATTCTAGAAACTACAGATAAGTGAACTCCAAGTCAATTCCCTAAAGAGTGACAGGATCTTTGGACATTTCATTTCCCTTTTTGAAAGGGTTGCTACCTCTCTGCCCAAGACGAAGTATATGTCAGAATTTAACCCTCTCTTATTCTTGGGAACAAAATTAAAGAAATGTAGGCTGCACATAGGGAATCTGAGATTGTAGATCAGCCACACCCAAAAAGTGGCCTGATGTCAACACTAAAAGCCAATCTTGAGGGGCAAGTGGCAGGGTCTTTTCTTGGCCTTGAATAGCACAACTTTTTTTTTTTTTCATCAATGTTGATAAAATCATAGACTACTTATAAAACTTATGGGTGAAAAACACTTAAGAGGAAGAAGCTCATATAATGGATTATAGATAGGATTGAGATTCAGAAAGATCTCGAAGCTGGAATAACTGGAGAAACTGACAATGGATAAGCAGCGATAAACAAAGTATTTTACTCAAGTTCAAAAAAGCAAATGCATATATACAAAAAGCTGATGAACTGAATTATTTTTCCTTTGATAATAGCTAATATTCATATAACCTTTTAAAGTTTACACAGCACTTCACAAAAATGTAATTTAGTTCTTATAACAATTTTGTAAGTTAGGTAATATTATCATCCCCATTTTACAGATGAGATGAGAAAATCAAGCCAGACAGAGGCTATGTGACTTGGCCATGGCCACCCGGCTAAGATGTGTTTGAGGCTGTATGTTTCAACTCAAGGCTTCATGATCCAAGTCCAGTGTTCTGACCACTGCACCACCCAGTCAATGACACGTAACGGTCATCCACTAATGATAAGCTTAAAATAAGGCAATGCAGAGTGGGAGTATGATGAAGGGGCACGAAAGGCTCATTTAAAGAAAACTGAGAACGTTTTAACTGAAGAAAATGGAAGAACAACAAGCTGGTAGTAGTTAAGGACTGGAAAGGTTATCATGTGAGTTTTGGACTTAAATGAGTAGAGCTACAAAGAGGCAGATTCTGGTCTAATATAAAGAATTTCCAGACAATTATAGCTATTCAAAAATGGAATGAGCTGGATGGATGGCCAACTGCCAACAATGAAGAAGAGGGGGTGTCAGCACTGGGTGGGAAACTAGAGAAGCCGTTTTCCTAACTCTAAGATTTTTTGACGATGTACCCTAAAAAGGCAAGCAGCAGGCAAATTAATAATGAATTTTATACCTCTAACTATTTCTAATATGGCATAAGCTTCATCATTCTAATGAAAAAATCATTCCCTTAGATTGTTAATCATATCCTTGAAACAATTAATACAAGGCATGAATCTACTCTGTATACTTTTTATATATAGGGCCTGTATATATTTATGTATAGGCCTATTATATATATGGCCCTATATAGGGCCATATATATAATATATAGGGTCACACAATTAGTAAGTGTCTGAGACCAGGTTCAAACTCAGCAGGACAAGTCTTCCTGACTCCAGACCTGGCACTCTATCCACCAATTGCCCTATGAATTTTTACAGAAGGGTAATACACAACAGTCTTTTGAGAACACCACTGTAAGTTTGTTCATTTTTAGAAAATGATTTGAAAGTCACCATTCAAGGTTAGTTATCTTGCAGTGCTATGATTTACTGCTCACTTAAATCTTTGTGCATAAAACTTCAGGGAATAAGTTTTCCTTAAGAATGTTCATTTTGGTCAAGCGAAGACTACGCTACACCCAAATGACACAGAAGTGATTTCACAACACGGCATTTGAAAAAATGAACTGTGTCACAAACATGAGTGTGAAAGAGTCCTTCAGGTTTTCTTTTGGACTGCTTACCCAAACCAACTAAAGGCCTTCTAAGTGTGGCTCATCTTACCTGGCAAAATGGAGTTGAAGATGCACAGGACCAAAACCCGAACACTGAAGGGCTCTTGTTTGATATTCCGAAACAAGGGAGCACAGAGTCTTTCAAAGACGTAATATGCATAAAACATGCAACCAAAAACCTAGAACAAAACAAAAATCACTGGGCTTTTTTACCCTTTCCCCCACCACCTCCACCAACCCCCCCTTGGAGGAATGGAGGGAAGTGAATCTAGTCATTAGGATATGTAGACTGGACCTATGATTTCACGGGTAAAGGAAACTCCCCCTACTCAAGCAGGTCAGTCCCTTCTTGGAAAATTACAGTTTGATAGGTTAACTGAGATGTTATGTGATTGACCCAGGGTCACACAGCCAGCATGTGACCAAAGCTGGACTTGAATCGAGACCTTCTGTGCTCTGAAAGCAGCTTTCTGTCCACTATGCCATACATCCTCTGAAAAGTTACATATGAGCCAAAGTAGAGTACCATGGCTAGTTCATGGTTGATTACAACACAAGTGAGCAGACTTCAATTAAATTATCACCAAATGTAAATAACATCGTTTCATATTTACATTATTTTATTCACTTTATCCGTCAACCATTTTTGACACAGCCCTTTTCCAACTGTTTCCCCAAACGACATCTTAAAAGATATTATTCTAACATCTATTTTGTGTACTGAACAAAATACATTGATATAGAACAATATTTGCCTTAATTCAACTAATGTTATTAAACACCAACTGTAAAGCAAGGTACTATGTTAGGCACCAGGAATAAAAAGATGAAAAAATGACACGGTAATTTATAAATCGCACGCGCACGCACGTGTGTGTGTGTGTATGTGTGTGTGTGTAACGTAACATACAAGGAAGCTAAAAGATAAAATTATAAAAAAGAGAACAAACGTATAAAAAGACAATCTGGAGATAGAGAAATCACTTTCAGCTACATTGGAGGACAAAGAAACTAAAGAAAAATTATGGAAGTTGGCACCCACAGCAGATCCTGAAGACTCAGAAGGCTCTCAACAATACAGAAATGAAGGAAGTACATTCCAGACCTCGACGGTGGCTTGTGTAAGGCATAGTATATGCCTTAGTATATGATGTGGCTGGACCACATCAGGGAAAGAGTTAGTCATCCAATGTGGCTGGAATGTAGAGTATAGGAAGCAATAAAGGACAAAATAATGCTGGAAAGGTGGTTTAGAGCCAGATAGTAACAAGTCTTAAATGTAAGTCTAATGAATATTGATTTTATCTTGTTAGTAATGGGGAAGTATTGAAAGTTTTTTGAACAGGTAAGCAACATAATCAGACTCTGCACTGGCAAGAGGAATTCAGCAGCTATGTAAACAGATCAGAGAAGGGAAGAAAATGGAGTCAGAAAAACCAGCCAGGAGGTACTACAACAGTTTAGGTAAGAAGTGATGATGAAAGCTTGAGGTATGTGTGAATGCTTTTATTATCAATGGAAAATCTGATATGGATAAGCACTAAATATGGTGTCCTTCTGGATAAATGTTTATTTTACAATGATGATGATGATGATGATGATGATAATAATAATGATAATAGTAGTAGTAGTAACATTTATACGTTACCTCAAGGTTTGCAAAGCACTTGTATATACATTATCTCACTGGAACCTCAAAACTACCCTGTGAAGAAGGTACTATTACTATTCCAATTTTATCAAGGAAGCTGAGGTCAAGACAGATTCTGACTTGCCCAGCCAGGGTCACACAGCTAATAAGTCTCTGAGGCAGTATGTGAGAGCTCAGGTCTTCCCGACTGCCAGTGAACAAAAGATAAAAGCCCAGTCTAGATTAGGAAATTCATTCAACACACATTATTTGACAATAACGGATATCAATAATGACAGAATCTTTCTGAAGAAACCAAATTTGAATCAGATTTCCAAAAGTAAATTATCTTAGAAAAAAGAATCATTCAAGATTTAGGTAATAAGAAAATTATTCCTTTCATAAAGAATATTTAGATGACTTTTTTCTCTTCCAAGATGATATCATTATTGGGTCAATGTTTTAGTATTTCCAGAAACAAGTATGATGTATGTGATTTCATCATTCATTCACTTCTGCCCACCACCAATCCATGTTAGCATTAGCCGACTGTCCTTTTGCTCACCTGTGCAAACTGAGTAGCCACATAACCCCATCTGATAGTGGGATTCCTAAAAGAGAGAAGAAAATATCATAGAGTTAGAATCTGTTTTTTGAACTTGTATATACAGTCATTAAATATGAGTAGGTATCTTCTTTGACCATAAATACTAATTTTAATTATTATTAAATTGGGGCAATATGATCTTCTATGAAGTCGGTTTAACCTTGGGAAATTATTTTCAAGAAAACATTATATTGTCAATTCTAAAAGACAATCTTGTTAGTTCTGCCAACCCAGCCCTTTAGCAATAGCTTCATATTGACAGACAAGGTTTACAAAGCATCTCTCTCAAGAGAGTAAGCCCTGGCTTTCCCACTTAAATTTGTTGCTGTTCAGTCATTTTTTAGTTGTGTCCTACTTTTTCTGACCCCATTTGGGTTTGGTTTTTTTTTTTTGCAGATACTGGAGTGGTTTGCTATTTCCTTCTCCAGCACATTTTACAGATGAGGAAACTGAGGCAAGCAGGATTCAATAACTTGCCCAGGGTCACACAGCTAGGAAGTGTTTGAGGCTGGATTCGAACACAGGAAGGTAAGCCTTCCTAACTCCAGGGCCTGAGCTCGATCCACTGCACCACCTAGCTGCACCCATAATAGCATGATATGTAGTTTCTGATCTTAGCTCAGGCTCTGCGCCTGGTGAATTAATTGTGTCACATTATGTATTTTAACTAGCTCTTCAGGTCCATAAGCTAAAAGAAGTTGGGCAGAGCAGAAAAGGAAAAAAGACAACAGGCCGAAAATTTAAGAACTTGATTATATTCCCAGAGCAAAACCCAATTAACTGAGACTAAGAAATAGTCAGTTAACTGGAATTTACTTTCTGTACAAGTTTATATAAAAGTTTTGGATTTTCATCTTTTAAAGAGAAACTTGGATCATAGATTTAGAAATGGAAAGGACCACAAAGACCACCTAGTCCAAACCCCTCATTTTGCAGACAAGAAACTTAAAGCTAGCAAATTTAAGAGACTCACTAAGGTAGTCAATGTCATAGCCAGGATTTGAACCTAGGTCCCCTGACTCTAAAATCTTTTGGGAATAGGATACAAGGAGGCCTACCTAACCTAAGATCCAAATTCCGTGTCACAAAAACATAATTTGAAGCAAAACAGTTCTAGGGTGATTAGTTGCACTGAAAAACAACCGAGTGGATCCAGAGCCCTCAGCAGAGTTCAGAACATTAGGGTCAAATCTGTTAACTAACAATTAAGTGCCTACTATGTGCCAGACACTGTGCTGAGTGCTGGGGATACAAAGAGGCAAAAGACAGTCCCTGCTCTCAAGGAGTTCACAGCCTAATGGGAGAACAATACACAGACCACTACATACAAACAAGCTCTGGACAAGATACACTGAGGGTCATCTCAGAGGGAAGGCACTAAGATGGAGGGGGACTCGAGCTGAAGGAAAGCAGGGAAGGCTGGAGGTGGACATTAGGAAGGAGAGTGCTCCTGGCAGGGCATACAGCCAGGGCAAATGCTCAAGGCTGGCAGCAGGGGTGCCATGTGCAAGAAATAGCAGGGAAGCTAGGTACAGTATGTTTGGAATTGTCTTTATAATAATGACACGTTACCGTTTCATATACTCATCTAGTTTAATGACTGACACCTTCTGTACCAGGCAAAAACAAAGTTCAGAGCACAGGGGCAAGAAAGTATTCTAATTCAAGGAAAAATTCAATATATTTACTGTATAACTACTTACAAAGATAGGGAAAAAAAAGTAACAATACATTGAATGAAGAGTTTCAAAAGAGTTTAGACAAAAGAGGTTTTCTGGTAAAGTCATAGAGTATATAATCCAGGTAGCCAAGATACTCCATACCAGATATTTTGGTTAATAAAAGGTTTTTGTTCTGCCAACTATTAGGACTCAGAGCCTTCCCAGAACACTATCCTGCCTCCAATGCTCTTAACTTGGTACAAAGAACTGCTGATGAATAATTAATATCCAGGTACCTGAGGAGCCCCATTCACACTTCATGCCACTGTTACCTGGGATAGTTGTCTCTATAGATGAGAGTAGGAGCAAACAAAAAGTATAAGTACTGGCTGACTTGGGGTATTGGAACAGGGCCTGAAAAGGAAAAAAAAAAATCCATTTTATGTTGGAGCACATAGATCCTGCTGACGAAAAGGATGGGAAAACGAAGACCAGTACAAGGGGATGGAGGCTGGTAAGTAAGATTCTTTCCTCTGTTCAACCTTCCTTTCCACTTTCATTCTCTCTTTGCTTACCTGAATCTTACCGTCTCATCCTGTAAAGATGGAAGTCCCCCTATGGCCTCTCATTCCTCCTGAGCTCTGGAGTACTCTGTGTACAAACTGCTGCTGCTAATGTGGGACTTATCACAGATATGCATGCTAGTCCCAGGGCCACTTTCTATCTCCTGCCCTGGCTTCACCTCACCATAACACTTATGGTACCTCACAGAGAGCATGTGTTTGATTAGTGACTGATCTTACGTAAGACTAAACTTTCCTAAAAATTTTTTTCAGAAAGTCATGAAAGATACATCACATTTGAAATATAATCAAAATGCAACAATGGTAATTATAAATGCTAGTAATCTCTGAAGAGGATGATTCAAATAACCATTCAATAAGCATTTGTTAAAGAATTACTTTGTGCCAATTGTTTTAACATGTAATTGGGGAAAAAACTAAAATGTCATAAAAAAAATTAAGGAAAAAATTACTTTGTGCCAATTCTGAGGATACAAAGAAAGCAAAAATAAACAATTAAGCATCCTTCTTCTCATGGAGCTTACCTACCGAGGGGGACAACATGTTGCTATAGAGAGAAGATACGTACAGAATGGAAGGTAGCCTTGGAGGAGAAGACTCTGATGGCTGAGGGGACTAAGAAGGTGGCATTTAAGTTGACTCTAAAGAATATGGGATGTCTAGAAGCTGAGGTAAGGAGGAGGAATTTCCTGGCAGGGGAGACAGCCAGTGCTAAGGCAGAGAAATGGGAAATGGGAGGGTCATGAGCCAGGAGCAACGAGCAGACTGGCGTCACTGTAGCACTGCATACAGAAGGGAAGGGTGAGGTGTGAGAAGACTCAAAAAATAGGAAGGGGGCATATTGTGAAGAGCTTTAATGCTCGAGGAATTTCTATTTTATCCTAGGGATAATGGGGAGCCACTGGAGTTTACCGAAACAAGGGACGGGGGAGGGGGGGAGAAGATCCATGTTGTCAGATCCACATTTCAGGAAAATCACTTTTGTCAGCTGTGCAGAGTATGAATTTGAGGGCAGAGACACTTAAGGCAGGAAGAACAATTATAAGGTTATCTTAAGTCATTCCCCAATAGATAAGTTCCTATTAAAGGAGGTGAACAAACAGCTCTCAAAAGAAGAATTATAAACTATTAATAAACACATGAAATAATCTCAAAATCACTAATAAGAGAAAAGCAAGTCAAAATAACTCTCAGATTTTAATTATCATTAAACTGGGGTAAAGATGACAAAAGATGTCAATAATTAATGTTGGAAAAGTTGTGGGAAGAAAAGCACACTGGTGCATTGTTGGTGGAGCTGTAAATCAGTACAATCATTTTGGAAAGCAAATTTGGAATTATGCAAATAAAATGATTAAAATATCCACACCCTTTGACTCAGAGATTCCATTATTGAGCTTATATACTGAAGGAGGCCACTGGTAAGAAAGTCTCTATAAGCCTCTATAGCAGCACTTTCTGTGATAGCAACAGATTACTATGGTATAAGAAATGATGAATATAGATACAAATGGAAAGATTTTCACAAACTGATGCAGAATGAAGTAAGCAAAGAAAACAAATCAACAACAATTACAAGAATGTAAATAAAAAGAATCACCAAAAAATTCAAAAGTGAATGTTGTGCAATTATACAGGATAAGTATGGATCGAAAGATGAGATATGAGAAGATACTCTCAATCTACCCTTTGTAGAGGTGGGAGGTCCACCCTCAGTATTACACACTGCACAATGTATTCATCAGTTAGATTGATTTTTTCCTCTTTTCTTTTTTTGTCTCAAAAAATTATTTGTCATATGGAATGGCTCTCTAGATGGGGAAGGAGGAGGGACACTGGAGGAAACTACAGTTATGTTAAAAAAAAAATTATTAAAAAAAAAAAAAGCCAGTGCAATTGCCCAGGTGAGAGGGTGGCAGCTACATGAGTAGAGAGAAGGGGATATATGGAAAAGATCTTGTGATGGTAGCAATGACCAGATTTGATAACTGAGTGGCTTACGTGGGGTGAGAGTGGAGAATGCCGAGATTGTGAACCTGGAAGCCTGGAATAATGGTGGCACTTTTAACAGTAACAGAAAAGTTCAGAAGACAGGACAGTGTTTTGGAGAAAATTCTGAGTTCTGCTATGCAGAGATTGAGTACAAGAACCCTATGAGAGAGTCAAATTGAAATGTCCAGTAGGAAGTTAGAGAGGTGACAGTGGAACACAGAAAAGAGACTAAGGCTGAACAGATACACAGATATGGGAACTTTGTGTATAAAGACAACTGAATCCATAAGAGCTGAAAAGATCAGCAAGAGAGACAGTAGAGAGAGAGAGACAGTAGAGAGACAGGAGAGAGAGAGACAGTAGAGAGACAGGAGAGAGAGAGACAGTAGAGAGAGACGAGACAGGAGACAGAGAGAGAGAGAGAGACAGGAGAGAGAGACACAGAGAGAGAGACAGTAGGTAGAGAAAGAGAGAGACAGTAGGTAGAGAAAGAGAGAGACAGACAGTATAGAGAGAAAAGAGAAGGGTCCAGGACAGAATTTTAGGGCACCTCCACAATTCTGGGGCCTTGACAAGACAAACTCCTGCAAAGGAGACTAGAAGCAGTGCTCACACAGCTAAGAGAAGAAGCAAGTGAGCAGTGTCATTAAAACTAAGAGAGTAGAAATTATCCAGGAGGGAAAGGAAACAATACTTTCAAATGCTACAAAGAGGTAGAAAGAAGTCAAGGATGGTAATTGAGAAAAGACTGGCTCATTAAGAGATCACTGGTTACTATGGAGAGGGCAGTTTTTTAAGTTAAATTAAAGTCAGAAGCCAGACTAGAATGGGTTTAGAAAAGAGTGAAAAAAACAAGTAAAAGCATCAAGTATGGGGTTTTTTAAAGGAAATGAGCTGTGAAAGAAAGGAGAGATACAGGATAATATCTAGTGGGGATGTAGGATTAGGGAGGGCTGTTCTCGGATGTGAGAGGTGCGGTCAAATTTTAGCCAACAGGCAAGGTAACAAGCATTTATTAAGTGCTTGCCCTGTGCCAAGCAATGGGAAGAGACAGATGATTAGACAAGCAGCAGAGAGCGGGTGGAGGCCATGTGATGGAGAACACAGGAAAGGATACGATCAAGGGTGTATGTACAGAGGCTGGCCATGGTCGAGATGGAAATGAAGGATAAGATAGTCATGGGATGACATCGAGGGAACTTGAGATAGATGGCTTCAATTTTTTCCGTGAAGCATGAGGCAAGGTTTTCAGGTAGGAAGGTAGGGAGGAATCTGAAGAGAAAGGGGGGGTTTGGAAGAGCTGCTGTCATCACTAGAGTCAGAGAAGGGTAGAAGAACTGCCTTGTGGCAGTGAGGGCCCAGCTGAATCCGATAAATTTATAGTGGACTCAATTAACATGTTTTCATACCATCCACTGAGCACCACAGGCAGAGGAATGAAGAAGTAGGTGATGAAAGTAATAGAGGTTTGTGATTTGGCATGGTCTTAGTGGTGAATGGTCAAAGGACAAGGGATTTGAGAGCAGAGGATAGCATAGAGTTGAAATGGCTCACCAAGAGACTGAGACTGGGAAGCGGGGAAAGTGTAGCCACTACAGGGGTGACAGCCTGAGAGAGTATTGAGGGGAGAAGGGCTCAAGGACAAAGAATAGGGTTGGGACCGAAAGACATATTTAAAGAAGAAATATTAAGAAATTTTGGAATTTATGAACCAGGTAGAATATTTGCATATGACAAGATCAAGAGCACAACCATCCCAAATGTAGCTAAATTTCTATATGAGGCTGGATGGAGGAGTGGTAGGCCATGGGAACTCAGCAGACTGAGGAACTGGGAAATTAGAATATAAATACTATTCCACCCATTTTAATTAAGAGAATCCAGATAAGGCACCCAAAATATTCCTGCAAAAGCAACCACTTTCAAGTCAAAATGTAAGATTAAGAGTAAACTGTTACTGAATTTATTATGTATACTAGTAGGGTACAAAAAAGTTTCATTTTCAAACTTATGTGTAGGAAGATTACTTACGTGACTTTTCCTTAGCAGCATCCAGTACCCGAGGAACATTCTCCCGAATAAATGAATGAGCTTTCATAATGAAACGAACCTATGAAAGAAAATACTCAACTATCTTCCATTGTTCTCATAACTCCCACCACCATTATGACAATGTGACATACTAACAACAACGAAAACCTCTCATGCCTCTGGTTCATTCTGCATATAACTAGAGCAGGTTCACTCTAAAGACAACCAAAAACAAAACAAAAACAAACAAACAAAAAAAAAGCCAAAAGCTATCTCTGAAGATGAGTACTAGTAATTTAAGGCATTTTTCATTATTATTCCTACCCCAACTACATTAGCCATGGCCAGTATCAAATTAAGAAACCGAGTTTCCAAAAAAAAAAAAAATATTAGAGGGTTCAATTAGCTAAGTCAACAAACAAATGAGAACAAAAGCAACAAAATAGCTAATTTCAAATATTTTTTACTTGAGATGACTATAGAAGCACACATCTTCAATATTCAGTTTTTATATATCTTACCGTTCAACTAATCTTCATTTTACAATGTACATTATTTTGTAATTAAAAATTTTAATTAGACAAAAACAGAGCTGAAAACTTATAAATCTTATAGCATTAGAGACACCCAGGATATAGAAAATGACTATACAGTCAAATTAATGACTGAGAGATGCAATAAATTTGAAAAGCATAGTTTTAAAACAAACCCAAAGTATTTGGGGGTTTTGTTGCTTTAAAATTTGTTTGTTCTTAACTAAAGAAAATCACAAAAAAAAAAATAGCAATAAAACTGTAACTTTCAGGCTTGGAACTCTTTTAACTTGACCCCCATCTTCAGAGATGCTATTATAAAAAGAACGGTATCAGCATGCAGGTTCAATGCTTGAAAAGTCTTGACAGAATACCTTCTTAATTTCTAAACCAAAAGAGAGCCTACTCATTTTTTATTTTGTTAGTTAATGTAAATGTAACCTGTTCAGAAAATTCCAAGATACTTACCTGTTCAAGTACAATAATGAATCGGGAAGCTGGTGGTAATGTATAGGCCAATACTACATAAGTTGATCCACATCCCAAGCCTACAACCTGGAAAAGCATGAAAAGCATCCCATAGAAGAAAGAACGGACAAGTGGACGGGAACTTGTGGTATATCCTTTGGCCCAGCGTTCAAATAGTAAATAGGGAATGATCAGTGTGGCCAGGAACATGGACCACCAAGCACAAATTACAATCGAAAATTTGCCAAAAGCATAAGTGAAGAGACTGAATTCTAGGACCAGCCTGGAAGGGAAAGAAAAAAATATGTAAAACACAAGAGTAAGTTAAATATACTATCCACAAATGTTTAGGTCATCATTAAAAACATACTGCCCTACCTAAGGTCTGCTGATGATTTAAATACTCTATAATAGGAAATCCTACCACAATTAATTTCAATATGCTTCTGCTAGACAGAGACCACATCTGATTCATAGTCTAACATTCTCTACAAAAAAGAAATAATAATGTTTCTGGAACTCCAAGGGGTAAACGGTTATAGAAAAACTACCTTCACATTTACCGCCTTGGACTTCTTGTACTTATGACTAACTCTATAAAACACTAAAAATTAGATCTTTAGCTTGAATTGTTGCAGGGCTCTAATTAAAAACTTACAATCTCCAGTTTCTGTGCTTCTGAAAACTCTCTATGGCAAGCCAGCCTTATATTCTTAAAATAGCACGCAAAATTTGAAATACAAGCTAAGTTTTATTTTTATTTTTTAAAAATACTTATGTACCTAAGAAAATACGAGATTTTCCACTTCAAAAGTTAGCACTTAAAAAAAATTTCCAGTTATTTGTGCCTTCTACTCTATAAGATATATAGCTGATGCTTATTTCTAGGCCATAGTTATCATAGGCATCTTTTCTCTCTACAGGACATTTACATTCCATCGTCAAATGCACTTATTACTCAAATTTAAATTACAGAAATAAAAACTTAAATCTCCCTTGCCAAATTCAACAACTTTTTCCATATTATCTTACCTTCCTTCATCAATGTAGTCCACTACAAGTGTGCTGAGAATAAAGAGGATGAGGAGGGCAATAAACATATGATATATTGTTCGAATATGGTCTATCTCAAATAGCTCACTGCAAATAAAGTTGAAAGTGAAATGTCATTAAAATACAAATTACTACCACCCTGCATTCATAAAATGTTCTTTATAACAATTCAATACTTTTTTTATTCCAGTATTTCTATGATTAAGAGCGGAAATCATTATCCTACTTTGATGATTAGAAAACTAAGATATATAGGGTACTGAGTCAAATTTACCAGAATAAGAGCCATTCCCCAACTGAGAAATGGTTAAAGGATTTGAACAGGCAGTGTTCAGTGGAAGAAATTCAAGCTATCAATAGCCATATGAAAAAATGCTCTAAATCACTAATAATTAGAAAAATGCAAATTTAAACAACTCTAAGGTACTACCCTACACACAAATCAGATTGGCTAAGATGACAAAAAAAGACAATGACAAATGCTGGAAGGGCTGTGGAAAAATAGGTACACTAATGCACAGTTGGTAGAGCAATGAACTGGTCCAGGCATTGTGGAAAACTATTTGGAGTTGGCCATTATCATCAGAAGTCCAAACCATTGTACTCCCTTTCCTCCCTACTCACTCCCCAATCAGCCCCATCAACAAATAGGCTACCTCATCCCATAGAGAATGACTCCACCCCAAGGTCAACAAGATCAGAGGTTGGCAAACTTATTCTACAAAGGGACAGGCAGTAAATATTTTAGGCTTTTCAGGTCAAGAGGCAAAAATCAAACATATTACATAGGTACTTAAAATTTCCCAAAAAGTTTACTGATGAAATTCAAAATACAAAAATAATTGAGTGCTGATTTTTGGGGGGGGGGGGGTAAGACAGGTCTACTAATGAGAAGAACGGAATTCTTTTTTGAAGGATAATATTCACTCAATTGGATTCACAGTGTTCTCTATCATCAAAATCAATTGCAAATGCTCACCTCAATGCTAATCTATAATGAGATTTTACACATTTCACCTTTGCAAATATCTTTCCACCCAAATAGTTACCACCAAATACTGCTATTAGTCCACAAGGATATGATTTTAATTGAGTATATTCATCACCTGAAAGGCATTTATAAATTTCTATTAGATTCTTCTCTTGGTACTTACCTTTTATTATGTCATTACACTGCAGTTTAACCATTTCTAATTAGGTGGAAGCTCCGCAATTACAATAAAATAGATTCTGAAATATGAACATTTCTTTTGTACTTATATTAAGGTCTGAAAAATGATGCTAAAACTGCAGCATGAACTTGGAAATATACATATGTATGTGGGAATGGAGATCTCATTTCTTATCTTAACTTTTGACAACACAAGATAAAGCAGCTTGACATTTCTTGTGATTAAAACAACATTGGTTGTTATCAAATTGACTTTACTGTGGGATAAGTTTTGCACACAAGCACTGTTTTGCCTTGCAATTTTAGGTGAATTCATTAAGAAATGTTATCAGATCTGCAGTAAAAGCTAATTTGCAAAGCCAGTTAATGTTCAGTAATAGTGGTTGAAGACCATTCTTCACACTGAGAAGAATTTAAATCTCTACTATGAGTTCAAAAAAATCACAATGTATCTTTTTCGACATGATGAGTATACGCACTGATAATTAAAAAAAAAAATCACATTGCAGCAATATTCATGGCATTCAAAATGCTATTGAGCTAGAATGGTATCAATTTGATTTTGTTTCTTTTCTTTTCCTTTTTTTTTTTTGGTAAGGCAATCAGGGTTAAGTGACTTGCCCAGAGTCACACAGCCAGTGAGAATCATGTGTCTGAGGCAGGTTGTGAACTTGAGTCCTCCTGACTCCAGGGCCGGTGCTCTATCCACTGTATCACCGAGCTGCCCCATCAATTCGATTTGTTGAGCAGCAGGGTGCTGACCACACCATCTGCTGCAACTACTTAATCCTGCCCTAGCAGACAAAAACCGGTCAGAGACAAAATGTAAATGAATGAATGTGGCCGTGTTCCAACAAAACTTTATTTAACGAACAGTGAAATCTGAATTTCAGATAATTTGCATGTGCCCCCAAAAAAAAATTTTATTCTTCTTTTGAAATGTCCCCCCCCCCCCCCCACCACCTAAAAACCACTTTCAGGTCATGAGCTGTACAAAAACAGGTGGTAGGCCAGATTTGGCCCACAGGTATAGTTGGCCAATCCCTGAACGGGATGACTGGTGAATTCTTGCCCAGAACCATGATATCATGAGAAGTCTAAGCCACTTTCCTCACTTGCCAGTCTGTTGTACCTCCACACTGGCTGCTTTACCCCAGGCTGGTGTCCTCCTCAGGTCCTGTCATGTCAGAAACGTCATTCCTTAGTTATATGCTATAAATCCCCTATAGAATAACTTCAGTAACTGACTAAAGCAAACTGAGGTTTTTAAGATATTGACATAAAAATTTCCTTTTTGAAACTGTGTTCTAACAGTTTTCTTAAAAGAGTGGCAACATAGTCTACATAAATGATTGACCAGAAAATCTCATTTTTAAGTTCAGAACACTTAAAGTGGCAATACTATAGGTGGGGAGGGAGACTAGGATGCGAGATTACCCAATGTAGGTTCCATACAATTTGAGACATACGTGTGCCATTAGCATATCCATTATAATAGACAAATGCGAGATATACTCACTCCAACATAGACCTTCTTACAACAAAAAGCTTTCCTTCTTCTGGACGATTTCTTAGATCTCTAGCAAAGAAGAAGAAATTTTAAACACTTAAAGGGCTATTAGAAATCTGGTGCCATAATAGGGAATAACATGGCAAAGTTTTAATGAAGAAAGAAAAAGCAAACATTCTTACTTAGCTCTGTGGTTACTCTTCCCTCCATTGAGAATAGCAAAGGATGCTGCAGACCCAGAGATATCCAGTGAGGTTGATTTATCAATAAGATTGGTCACAAATTCATCAAAATGATTACCTACTTCCTTCATAAAAAATGGCTTCAACTGCTACAGAAATAGAGAAAAAAAAGGAAAATATTAGCTGCTTCAAAGATACTGCATTTCATCAGTATAGGTACACTTTCCACCAATACAAATCAAAATTCCTTTATACCTTCATAGATGGTCTAAAAGCATTATTATTTGGTGCCAAACTTCTGGTGACATTTCTTCAAACTTAGCTAAACCAGTTATGTGAGGAGGGGGTTCCATATCTGGCACACCAGGAGACTGAGGGTTCAGAGAAACAATTACTATACTTAAAAATACCACACTCAGTGATCCTCAAGTCAAAGCAGCTCTTGAGGAATTTCTGGGGGGTCTCAGGAGTTTCCTACTCAAGGCACAGAGTGGAAGGTATGTATGTATGTATGCTTCACTCAAAGAGCCCACAGCTAGATTTCGGGACAATCTCCTTCGAGCAAAACCAACTCAAAATGCCCAGAGGCTATCCACAACAGACTTGATTGGCGGTATTGGAGTTGGGGAGGTTAACTCAAACTGCCTCAGATCTCCAAGAGTCCTTGACAATTAAGTAGAAGATAAGCAGTCACCAAGGCCTTTCCAATTCAGTAGAACCTGCCAGGAGTGGTGCTTTGCTGGCGCATCATCACATTTTTATGTCATGATAAAACACGGACTTTGAAGGAAAAAAGTATAGAGACCAACAATGTGCTTGTGGTACAATGACCACACTGTAAAGGATTCTTTAACTTAAAATGGATCATAGTAGGGTACACGAGACCAAATAATTAAATTTACAAACAAAAGCCCTGCATAATTTAAATGTAAACAAAAAGATCTAAGTTGTGTGCCCATCATCCTCAGAAGAGGACCAGTGACATCACAAGGGTGATGTCTTGACTTCTGCATGAATTGGATTTAAGTGAAGCCTCACTCTTCTCTGAAGTCATCAGAGGCAAGTGGCAAGACAAAAGTCAAGATGACTGGTGATGGCCTGGGATGACGTTGGCCTTTCTAAATCCAAGTCTTTCCCAGGTCTCATTTTGTAACCTTAAATATAAAGGTTTTATATAAAATATAAAGGTATTATCATTAGCATTTATTAAAGCCTTCTACTTCTTGGTGGGAGTAGTGCACTAATTGTTTCTCCCCATTTCGAAGCCTTCCTTCAAGATGCCAAAGAAATCTCAAAAACCTCCAGTGATCCTCATTACCCCCCAAATAAAAGAAAAGCCAGATCCAGCCTAGTTTTCCTTATTTCATCATATTCCCTTTTACATACTCTATACTCTGGGCAAAGTGGACTACTTCCCTGTTCCCCAATCTCATTCTGCTCTCTCTCATCTCCATTTCATGTCTATTTACAACCTTCAAGACCCTGCTTAGGAGACTCTGAAAATAATGTTCTTAATATGAAACAAAGATACTTATGTACGTACCCCACATAGGCTATTCCTCCTAGACTAAGAGATGCCTGAAGGTAGATGAAATCACAGGTGTGGACCACCCTCTCCTCTTCCCGCCTCAAAAAGTTTCATCTAGGGCAGCTAGGTGGTGCAGCAGATAGAGCACAGGCCCTGAAGTCAGGAGGACCTGAGTTCAAATCTGACCTCAGACCAAACACTTGACACTTACTACCTGTGTGACCCTGGGCAAGTCACTTAACCCCAATTGCCTTAAAAAAAAAAGTTTCATCTAGCTCTTGATAATTTGTACTGTTGGAAAAATAGAACATCGAATGTAAACAGATGTGTTGAACTTTATTGTGTCTCTATTTCAACTGAAAAAAAAATCTCAACTTACCTGACAAAGTTACTGTGAGAGTCAAATAAAAAAAAATGTACATGAAAGCATAATGAAAAGCGTAGTTTCTAAGAGATGTGATTTCTCCCTCTTGTGACACTTTGTCACAGGATTTTGCTTATTTTTCTGTTATTTTCCATAACATTTTGTACCCTTATTGCAATCACATTCTGACTAACTATGTACTTATCTTCCCTTACCAGACTATCAACTTTTTGAAGACAGAAGGCCCGGGTGAAATTATGTAAGAAATCTGTAGTGGACCAAGGCAACTCAGTTTTGTAGTTTCATCCAGCAGTCCTTGAGCAGAAGCAAAGGCAGCAGATGAGAAGAGGATTCTGAGGGGGAGCGTGACAAGGTCAGATCAGTGACAGGATATGGGGCCAAGGCACTGGAAAGAACATTATGAAGGGCTAAATGGTTTTACCAAAGGACAAGATGAGGAAGGGAAGAGAGCGTGGCAGTGCAGGGTGATGCAGGAGGGTGAAAATGAAGGAAAGAGTAGAGGATGATACGCTGGGCTCGTCTAACTCTATGCATGTAGGAAAGCCTTAGCTGAGATATCATCTCCATTCTCCCTTCTCTACCTGCTCAGAGATGGGCAAACTCCAAGGTCTGTCACTGCTGATCGCTGATGGCCTTCCAGAGCTGCAAAGTTTTCTCTAAGTGAAGAGTAAGCGAAAGATGAAAAACGTATATCTCTAAATAGAATCATAAAATCTAATCTGCTGGGGGCAGCTAGGTGGCACAGTGGATAGAGCACTGGCCCTGGAGTCCGGAGGACCCGAATTCAAATCCATCCCCAGACACTTGACACTTACTAGCTATTTGATCCTGGGCAAGTCACTTAACCCCATTACCTAGCCAAAAAAAAAGAAACCTAATCTGCTGGAAAGAGGATCAAGTTAATATAGTCCCCCAGACTGTTAAGAATTAGAAGGACCTTAGACGTTGTCTAGTTCAACTCCCTCATTTTACATAAAAGGAAATGAAGGCTCAAAAGGACTGATGCAAGTTGCCCTGATCATATAACTAGTGATGGAGGGGTAAAGGCAGATTTAGAACCCCAGCTATTTGTCCTCAAATAGCTTTCTTTCTATTACATCATGAAACCTGTTCACTCTAACACAAATAGTAAAATGAAAAGAGTTAAGATTAAACCTTACCCCCACCCCTAAAAATTTATTTTTCTATATCCCAGGTGCAGGCACAGAAAGATACAAGGATGGTCAACAAGTTCTGAAAATGCTGGGTAAGCCAATTTGCACAAGGAACAGTACAAGGTAAACCTGGAATGGTAGCTGGATCCAAACTGTAGAGGGTCTTGAATGAAGGCTAGGAGTTTGTAATTAATTCAGCAAGCAATAGGGAATTCCTAAAAGTACAGAACTGATATGAATGGAGCTATCTCTATTATGGGCAAGGTATTACGCAAAATTCTGGAGATAATGCCCATTCCCTTGCCCTCAAGGAAAGAAGAAACATAAGCATAAGATAACGAGGTGTTAGAATGAATAGTTCATCTTACTTCAGGCTCTCATCATCCCAGTGTCTAGAATACTGCAATGCCCTCATCAGTGGTCTTCTGGCCCCAAATCTCACCCTCACTACAAAGGTGTCAAAGTGATTTTCATTGAATGCAGATCTGACCATGTCGCCCCCTCCCCCTCACTCACTAAATTCCACTGATTTGCTCTTATCTCTGGGATCAAACATAAATTCCTCTGTTTTATTTTTAAAGCCCCTCACAACTACATGGCCCCAAATTACTTTTCTAGTCTCACTACTGCTGCTTTTCTTTCTTGCACATTACAATCTGGAAAACTGGCCTTCCTTGTTCATTATACACAGCTCTATGGTTCACATCTTTTAAGCAAAGTTTTTCCTGATCCCCACAACTGCTGATGGTGCCCTCCTTCACTTCCTTACATTTATTTTGTATTTATTCTGCAAATATAAATGTATGTACACTCTTTGAGAACAGAGATTATTTTGGTGCCTGTATCTGTATCCCTCTCACCTAACATAGTGCTGGATAATAGGCTGAAAACCTAGGACATGGTGAGTGATTAGTTGTCAAGGGATGAGGAAAATGAAGCCGATGATGATGGCTGAGATGTGGATCCTAGGTAACTAGAAGAATGGTGATTTTATAAATAGAAACAGTAGATTAGAAAGCAGGAGAGAAGGAAGATGAAGAATTAACTATTCTCCCTGCATCCCAGAGGGAGGCCACTATCTCCCAACTTTGGGGATTTTCACTGGCTGTCCCTCTGCCTGGAATTCTCTCATCTCTGCCTTTCAGCTTTCCTGCCTTTCTTCAAGTCTCAACTAAAATTCTACCTTCTGTAGGAACTTTTCCTCATTCCCCTTAATGCTAATGCCTTCCTTCCAATTTATCCTGCATATAGCTTGTTTGTACATAGTTGTTTGCCCATTATTTTCCCCATTGGACTGTGAGCTCCTTGAGAGCAAGGGCTGTCTTTTGCCTTTCTTTGTATCCTCAGGGCTTAGCACAGTGCTTGGCAAATAGCAGGTGCTTAATAAATGCTAGCTGACCGACAACAGCACCCACAAACATTGACTGACACTGTTGGTGACTCAAAGAGCTGAAGAGGTTGCTAGCCCCTTGCTCTAATATTTCCCTGTAAAGGTTGACCGATTAGCTAAAGCAGCTGAAGGTTTCTGAAACAGAAATGGAATGATCAGAGTAGTACATTAAGAGTAGTGGTGTCAAACTCAAATAGGAACAGGAGATATGAGAAATTAGACTCCTTATGGGCTGCAAACTGACTTAGAAAATGACATATTAACATTATCTATATTTTACTGTATTTTTATTGGTAAATATTTTCCAATTACATTTTAATCTGGTTAAGGAGTATTGTGGACCTTCTCTCTGACACCTCTGATTAAGAGGATTTATATGGGAAACAATGTAAAGGGTGTCCTGGAGCAGGCAGGGACCATAGGTGGGAAGACTAGTTTAAGAGTCTATTTTGCAATAGTTCAGGTGATAGGTGACTGGTGAAGACCTGAACTAGGGCAAGTGGCAATGGGAATGGAAAGAAAGAAATTGATTTAAGAGGTATTACAGAAGTGAAACCAACTACTCAAATATGGGGGAGAAGAAAGCCAAAAGGAGAGATCTTTCAGGTTTAGAGCCTAGGTAATTGAGAAGACAGTGGAATCTCCAGAAAGTTTAACTCCCATTTTAAGTCATAACTTACCACAATTCAATG